AAAAAAAGCCTCTCGCGTACTCAGTGCTTTTTAATGTATTTGACAACATATTTCCTCTTTTTATTGCTATTACAAACTCATTCCCACTGCCATGACTCCATAGCTTCACAGGAAAAACCATTTAATACTGGTCATATGCCAACAACATGGCAAGACGGAAATCCATTTGGAAGGAACTTGGTTGGGTCAAACCAAATCTAGCTTATTCTTGTGATTTTATATTCCAACAAAGTGCGAAAAACATGATCATTAAAAAAAAGTAAGTTCATCACCCCAGTACATGGGCTTAACAAGACAATAAAAAAAGGTATAAAATACTTGTACGTAACTTGAAGCACACAATACAATGCACATCATATCCACTGTGTAACCACTGGAAGAGAAGGTTGGAATAAAGAAAACAGCCAAGTAGCACTCTAATACAGCAAAGCTACAGGGGCAGTAATATGACCTTTGGATAAAACCGGAGTAATGTAGGCTTAGTACACAACATGGTCAAAGTCAGCAAACAATTAGCACCCTCGCACCCGTTTCCAGGATCAAGTTACTAAGATACAGAAAGGTCCATTTGCATTCCTTTAGGAAAGAAACAAAACAGGTTGAATGTAAAAAAAAAAAAAAAAAAAGTAAAATGTGTATTTCTTGATGGCTCTCAAGGCCCTGACACAGGTCGTCTTTATGATAAAAGTCTCCTTCATCACTCATCCATCCATCCATCCACCTTTTTGTCTCTCACTCCCTCTTTCATTCAATCATGCAGCTGGTTTTAGTCGGGAAAACGCTGGCAGGCTTTTTTCCAGCGACAGGCGGTGCACCACTGATCCCTGCGTTCCACTCCGTACACCTTGCGGCACTTTTTGGCCTCCCCACGACCCTTCCTGCAGATGATTTTCCCACAGTCAAACAGTACAACAGGTCTTTTAATAGACATGGTAATACTGAACTACATCTACATTATTCCATATTAAAAGTTTAATGCTGGACTAACATGCATGGATCCCTTTTTTAAAACAGTTTTTTGGGACATTTCAATCATTTTTTTAGACAGCAACATAAAAAAGGACATGAGAGGAGAGATGGGGGATAAGAAAGGAAACACCCTAGACAGATGTGAGCCCGGGGAAAGGCCCTAACCTAAGACCAATGAGGGCTCGGTTAAGGAACATAAACATGCTTATTTTGTAATAATTCAACAAATTTAGTGCAGCTTCACAGAGCTGCTAGTGTAGCTGAAGACCCCCTTGTTGAAATTTTAACATGCGATGTCTTACCTGAAGGAGCAGTGAGAGCGGGAGGGCGACGCGCTCACAGGCTGCAGCCTGTTCTGTTGGAGCCACTGCTCCCCAACACTGACAGAGCGGCAGCGAGCTTTCACCATCTGAGGAGGCACACAGCCACAGAATGAGCACAACTGTATCTCAAATGAGAGAAAGTCAAAGTACTGTGTAGTTCCTTGTGCTGTGAAATGTTTGGCTTTTTTTTTTAATCAACTGATATGTGGCCCGCTAAGGATCCTGCATGGTGATATTATAAATGTTACACAAAGCAGATTTATAAAAACAGAAGAACAAAACATGAAAGCAACAGTTAAGAGAGACCCACCGGAGTGTTACTGTGGACGGAACCAGAGGTGGAGGGGGTCCAACCCCGGCAGCCAGGGCTCTTGGGCACCACAGATACCTGGACGGGGCTACAGGCCTGAAAGGAGCAAGGGACAGGAGACAACACATGATTCATGCTGGACCTTAAAGTTGCTGACAACCTTGTTCTTGTTATGAAAAATAATTACAGTGCATATCAATCATTGGCCACTTGAGGGCAGCAGAAACCAGCTGTGAACACGACACACGTCCCTCACTTGTGCATTTTCCTTGCATCTTAGCCCTGCCCACATCATAGGCAAGGAAAACTGGTGTAGTTTTGTCACTCTAGAGCTACACATTTCACATTACATGCTGTCATTCAGTTGTAAATATAACAACATTTACTTCAGGACCTTTAAGGATGTCACATAGTTTTTCAGTTCTGCATGATAAACTTGATTGTGAAGTGACATGGCGCTGAGATTTCATCTATATGACATGACCTTTTTTAAAGAACATTAACAATATGCAGCTCAAACTGGCACAAGAGGCTGTTGCCTCGATTACAACTCACATGGAGCACTATGACTATGCACACCACTTAAACTGGCTCTCTGTAAGGGCCCAGAAACATGGCTCCCAGTGCACAAATTCCTGAACCTGAAACAGATTTTGTCCTTGTCACATCCACCAGATAGTTACAAGTAATCGCTTAAAGGCTCTTGATTCTATCCATCTGCCGTGACAAACAGGCACAGTGCAAAAATGCCACATATTAAATAATGTTTTCCTGAGCAACTGTCCCCATTGCCTCTGCCCTACTTCTCCTCCCTATACAACCCACGCTATTAACAAAGTACATGCTACAGCCTTCTGGAAGCCCCGCCCCACACTACAGACAGCTGCAGATGGAGAACATTTGAAAATGCACTAATCCACAGAACAAAACACGATGATGCTAAGTATCCACTGCATTAATCACTGAATGTGACTCGATCAGAAACAAACAACATGCCCATGTGAGAGTAATGCTGTGGTCAGGCGTTTCAAACCGCAAGCCTCCAGCAGCCATGACACACACAGAGACACTGCTCCACCAGAAGCACTGACCCTCAGTTCAACCCACACTCTTGCTTAAGCAGGACCCCACTAGATTTCTGCAGTCATGAGGATATTAAAGGCAAATGAGGTAGAAAATGGACATGTTTTATAATATCTGTATCCTATTAAAAATGTTTTTTAAAAAATGGTCATGGTTGTTTTTAAAAGTTTGTTAGGGACAGTTTTCAGTGTTCAGTCAGTCCAAAGTGGGCATGAATACATGTACATCAAGCCTTAAAAACAGTACGACTGAAGAACTCATGCCATTTTTTTATTTATTTTTTTTTGGTTTTATACTAAATGGTTTTATACTTGTATAGCACTTTTCTATGTAGCACGCTCAAAGAGCTTTCACACTACTTGGCCATTCACCCATTTGCACTCACAAACACTCATACATTCACACACCGGTGTCATCACCAGGAGCAACTTGGGGTTCAGTGTCTTGCTCAGGGACACTTCGACATGTTGACTGGACAAGCCGGGAATCGAACTTTTGAACTTTTGATTATTAGCCCATTATCTATTGCTGGGAAGCCATTTACCACTATTGACTTTGGTACTGTAACTACTCTGTCAGAATCCTGTCCAGTCCAACACCAAGAACACTGCTCCCATTGGGTGCAAATTTCCATTTGGAGCTGTCATTGTATGGCAATATCAGCCTCATCAGAGAGGATTTGCAGATGGCCAGCATCTATGAGCCTGGCGAAGTCCTGAGACTGCAGCAGCTGGGGCAAAACATCATGACATACCCCGCTGACTGGGAAATCGAGAGTCTAGTCCCCTTGGGAAAGTCAGCAAGCAGATAGCTTATTCTCTCACCGTCACAAAGCGTCCATTTACAGGCTCAGTGGCACAGGGTAAATGCAGGTCACCTGTGACATGCGCTGCTTTGTGATGCATAAACCAAGTTGTTGCAGAAGAACCTCTGAAACAACACCATGAACACATAACAAGAGACTCTTCATAGAAACTTCAGTAAAACTAATGTTTTCTTTTATTTATTAGAAAAAGGAATCTAGATAAATCTACTTGTTTTCATTTACAGCCTGATTTCATGGAAAAGAGTCACACAGTAAAATGGACATTGGATATTTAATAAGCGATGCTAACAATTGCCATGCTATTTGTTTTCATCACTCTAAAAATGTCTTCCTCCAAACACTCCCTTCTTCCAGAAAGCTCCAACTCTAGGGAGTAAACAGTTACTTTTTTCCTAAGATTTAGATGCAAAGACTGATTTCATCCTGACATCTGTTTGTTAAAAACTAGGCCAGTAGTTAGTGAATTCACTTGTGCCTATAAAGCACTTTTCGATGCATGCCAGTGCACTCAAAGCACCTCACAATATTTGCCCAATCACAAACAGTCACATCTATATACCAGTGGCAGGAAGAATAGCCACACGAGGCCACTGGGAGCAACTTGGGATTCCGCGTCTTGCCCGGGGACATTTTGACATATGGAGAAGAAGCTGGGGATTGAACCACCATTGTTGCTATTAAAGGCCGACTCACTCTACCTCTTGAGCCATAGTCACCCCAGAGCATAAACTTAGCATAAAGACTAGAAGCAGAGGGAAACAGCTACCACTGTGCTGGTAGTGATCCTGATATTTCCCATAATAATGGTGTTTCCTTAATTTTTTTAAATGTCAAAAAACTCTTTGTATACAGATTCCTTTTAACAAAAAACATGCCATGAGGCTGGATTTATTAAATGTAACATTTCCCTTTGATTTGATGACCTGTAGTAGAAATATGTCATTTCTGAATCTTTCCGAACAGTCGAGGAAATTTACTGTCAGCCACAAATGGTATTAGACATTAATAATATGTTTGTCTCTGAACTAATCTATTTCCTGGCTGATACTAGTGCACACACACGTCCTGCCATGGCCTGATAGCTGCTACAGTCAACAGACCAAAACTGTGACAGTGAGAAAGCCACTGCTGCGCCCACCTGATAGAGATGCTCTGAGTGGATCTGCCAGAAGCTGCTGGGGGCTGACTGGCTGAGCGCACTGGGTCTGCTCAGGCCCAACCCGGAGCTGGAGTTGGACCTGGGCCTGTGAGCCGGAGGGATCTGGAGCCCTGAGCTTGGAGGAGAACCACAGGAGACCCAGCTGACATGGGAGGATGAGGCCTGGCCCAGAGCCTGCTGGGAAGGAGCTGGAGCGGAGCTGGACTCCACAGCCTCACAGGAGATCTTGGTGTAGAAGTCCTCTTCTCTCTGAGACCGATCAGACCCACTGCTGTGTGTGGCAGAGACAGACCAGTGGACACACAGAGAGACAGAGTGACTTAACTAAGTCAGAGCTCCTCCACAACCTGAACATTTGTTTTTTGTTTCTCTTTTTTCCAGCTCAGAAAGGTTCTAAAGGACTAAACTGTGTGGCTTTCACTCCACCTCAGACTAAAACAATGCAGACATGAAGCTGAAAATGCAGAACATCATCATTACCATTGTGGATCTGCTGCCCAAAATACTAAGTGTTGGCAGCTGGAAAGCCCAATTTCAGTGGGATCTATTTAAAATGATTACTGCAACAGGCAAATGTTACTGTTTAAATAAGGGTACACCATCCTAATCCTTCATATTTTATCTCTTAATTAAAGAAGGTTAAGCATGTTTAATATTCTCTACTACTAGGGCGACTGAGGTACAGTTCTTTCTAATACAAGGATAACACTACAAACACTAAAAGAAGCACATGCTAGCTGGATAGGACATTTCTTTTTTAACACTGAAAGATAAGCTCAATTCCGAGCAATAGCCATCCTTAAAATGCACATATATTCAATGAATCTGTAAATGTACATTAAACAGTTGCCAGCTCACCCCAGATGCAGCACACGGATGTGTCTTTTTATTCCGACTGAAGACGTGAGCACCTTGCCACAGCTGGGCCACAGACACTTGTACACACCTCTGAAAGAGCTCTGTGACTGCGACAACACACCACAGGCAAAAGTACAGGAGGACCAGAAAAGAAAGAAAAACACATAAGTGCAGAGAGAGAGCAGTTTCAGAACTTTGCAACTTGCTTCTTTTGCTAATGATGGAGGCTTCTCAGGCAGCAAGTTCCACCATATAGAGCTGCAGCCTCATCAGTGAAAGCTTTTATGGAACCACATACTGCTAAGTACCTTTGGCTTTTTGGCATTAAGCTCCTCTCCATGCTCCACCTTCATGTGTAGGCCTTCATCGGGGCTGCTGTCCATCTCTGTAACAGACGGTGAGGGGGCGGGACTCATGTTGCCACGGTCCCAGCTCCAGTAACCGCTGCTGCCACTGTCAGACAGCTCACCCCCGCCACACTCCATGTCAACTGATGATGAGGAGCCACCTGGACGACAGGAGCAGAACCTTCAAAAACTGCCTCTCATCCTCTTTGCCACATTCAATTACCTGTTTTCTCTCAATATTATAAAGAAGTAAATACTGTAAACATGCTATCATTTTTCACTAAAAACAAAAAAACAAAAAAAACCTAAACACTCCCTGCTCCTTTGTGACAGTGTGCAGTGGGACTGCTCTCTGCTGCTTCCTGTCTGGAATCCTACAGAGAACAGCCTGTGTCCCCCACCAGTGCCAAGGCTGTGATGTACATCTATTTTCTGAGAAACCTTTGCCATCATTTCCTCTATTTTCCAACTCTATTCTGTGTTTAGCGATATTTTGCTTATCAACTTGGCAAACAATTTAAAATTCCACCTTGCTATTAGCAATTAATCTATTCTTACTCAGTCAAATATGCTTATATTACATTGATCAAGGTTAAACAAGGAAAACAAACCTCTTCAAAATTATAGATGTGCCAAACTTCTCATAAATACATGAGAATAAGGCATTAATGTATAAAGACACATCATGATGTGAATTAAATGCAGGATTTGTTCACTGAGCTTACAGTAAGAGCTAAGACCACAAAGTGTAAAACAAGAATGATCATTTCATCAGTGACATTTCAGTCCTGCCAGTTTTTGTATTTATGTTGTGTAACATAAATACTGCAGGATTTTCACAACTCCACATTCATCTCCTTACCAATGAAAGGTTTACTGGCTTTTCTACTTGTGCTACTGCTACACTACATGTTAGCATTCAACATTACATTACAACGTTATCCAGCAGCAACGACACTGGTCTCTGTTAAAGTACAGCTACTTCTGTATGATACATACAGTATTTTGGAATGACAAGTCCACCACAGTTACTTATGTGCTAACTTAGCAGCAACTGACTCCACTGTGCAGTTTCTAGGAGAGTTAAATGGGAAATGTTTAGTTTTGCCTGCAACTTTGCATTTCCTTTAGATCCCCCATTTGTTTTACTTCATTAAATGGCCTCACAAATATTCTTTTATGTAATATTTATTGAATAGTAGTCATTTTTGTTAGTAACTGCTTATTTTGACTTAGCTAATTCTCCATTAGTGGTTAATCAATCATTACTAAATCTTTATAGATATCCATTAATATGAAACATTTTTGGGTTGCCAGGTTGTGATAACAACTGACCATTTCCATATATCAAAATCTACGTAATGACAAGTTAACAGCTGCAGATGTGATTATTCAAACTCTTTATTAATGACTTAACAAAGTGCACAACTACTGATTTTATGAGAAACCCATTAGCATTTATTAATGATTTTTATTATCAAATAGAACAGATAACCACCCAACATATGTTCTTTATGTCTTATTAAGGATCAATAAAGGATTAGTAAATGATCTTTTAACCACTAATAAAGCCATAAACCACAACTTACAGTACATGGCCTTTATAAAGGATGTCTGATGTGGTGCTACAAACATCAGAAACACTGATAAGGTTGAGTGCTGGTGAGGCGACACAGACCTGGTCCGGGATCTGTCTGTGGAGCGCTCTGCACCACAGGGCTACAGGACAGACTGGTCAGAACCATGGCGGCCATGATCTCATCCATCTCCACTGACTCTGGGCTGCGGAAGCTGGCGACAACATACAAGAAATAACATTAGACACCGGTGTGGTAAAATCCACACTCTTAACTACTGGTTAAACACTGTTAACTACTCCTCACCTGCACGGTGCCTCTCTAGTAGCTGACATATTACTGAGGTGCATTCTGGGTACCATAGTTTGCAGGGAAGCAGCCAGGTTGCTCCAGCCTCGCTCAGTCTCCCTCTGCTGCAGGTGAACTGATGCTTTGTTCTCCACAAACACTTTCTCAGCCTGGCCGCAGCTCTGCACAAATCATTATTACATAATGAGTTCCTAGTTAAAATCTGAAACAGTTTTCAGTTTACTGGCTTGATCTGGTTCACTTCAGCAAATCAGTGGAAGTTGACATGAATAGATGTGCTTAGGCCTTATTTGCGTTAAGCTGTTTACATGAGTCTCTGCTATCCTGCAACTGAGTCTTGCTGTTTCCATGGATAAAGCAGTTAAGAGAATATTTACTGTCCATCTGTGGCATCCTGCCTGCAGACAGCGCGATCTGCCACTGAAACAGCATGAAAAGGAAGCAGCTGCCAGCCTCTGACCAGGCAGCAGATTACATCTAATGCAGGGGAAAGAAATGATGATCTCATTTCTGGACCTTCCTTCTTATCAGTAGGGGTTTAACCTTTGGAGGATGTTGTTTGTTATCACAAAAATGCATCGCCAAGCAAGCCTGAACTGGAGCATGTTGACTGATAAACCATCTAAATGATGGCAGAATAAATAAATATCAGATCTATCATCTTAGTGATCCTGAATGGGGGTTTTGTTCTTCTCAGTCTATTCACCAAAGTCTGCTGTGCGTCGGGCCCATTGCTGTTGTGCGTTGCTGTAGAGACACAGGCCTGTAGGCCCGACGGGCACGCTGCCACCTCGCCTGGCTCTACTTCAGCTCTGTCCTCAGGTCCCATAGCTGGCACAGTGCTGCTGCACACAGCGAGGAGACTCAACAGTGTCACACCTCCCTACAAACAAGACTACAGGGGTAACAAGAGATTAGCACTGATCTGAGTTAATAAGATGAATATTTCAATGTTTCTACAATAATGAACCACTCTTAACACTGCTTATTATTATTGCACTTTGACAAAGTTGGGGAACTCACATGAGACCACGTTTAAAAAAGAATGGTCAAAATCAAAGTAGCACATATCGGATATCTTGACTCTGAGTTTCTTGTATGGATCAAGACTGATTTCATTAACACTGGAGTTAAAAATGCCAAATCTCAAGCTCCAGCCACCTTATGATGCCATCTGAGTAAAAGAAAAATAACCCTAATGACATCATCCAGATTGTTTTTTTCAGATTTGACAAAGGTCCTCCAGAACATAGAAGACACTATTCAACTGTTTACACATCCTCAATGTGAGTAACTGCACTTCATAAGTAACATCTGTGGAGACTCACTTTAAACAAGTTTGATATTATATAATATTCCCCATGAATGTCCTTAAGTGACTTCTGTTGTAATATTGGTGAAGGTTCCTTCTTCAAAGCCTTAAATGATGAAGGATAGTGGTTATTTTCAGCTAAAGAGAATATGCTCTGAATGTATCCTGGCATCAGCTGGTAAATATTATACTTCCTCTGATAAATAAATATGTTGCTCAAAACAGAAGGCAGCTTTACTGATGAATGAGTGTTGGCAAACACTCATTCATTCTGCCTGACAGTGCACAGCAAAAGCAACACAGGGGGGCTGGAAAATGGATGAATTAGAAGTGAACACAGATTTTTGCGGATGTAGTTTGAGACTGAAGCCAAATCTTGCAGCAGTTTTGTTTTCTGTTCTGAATGAGTAGGTGACTAACAAGCCGTTCAGCAGACGCAATCTGACTTTGGGTGCATTTGCTGTAGCCTGTCTCCCACAGAGGAAAATGGGGGCAATGCTGCATTCAAGGAACGTGGGAAATAATCCTGATGAAATAGTACACCGTCTCAAAGCCCTGACTACAGCATTTACCATCCATGATTTACAATATTTCAAGCATTATTATAAGTTTAGTCAAATTCAGTGACTGGAGTCTCCTGAAAGTTTCCTGGTTGGTCGTTAACAGTGATTTCATACTTAACCCACATACACAGTGAATAAAATGAACCTACCGTTTTGATTCTCAAATTTGATGAGTTGTTGTTTGACTTACTTTTTTACAGCTTGTAAATTTAATATCTAAATGTTAAACCTTATTTAGTAACAACTGAGAAACACTGTTCATGGTTTTCTGAAATTTTATAATTAGTTAACAAAATAAAATTATAGTGAAAATAACAGTTACTTGCATCTCTATATAATCATCATCACCATCATCATCATCATAAAAATACTACACCAAACTGCCAAACAATGTGTAAATAAATAGATCAAGATCTGAAATAGCCCTGTACAGGCCATACTATTCTGTAGAGAATGTAACAACTATAAATAATGACATGAACCGACTATTATTTTGGATTTTCATGAGGAAAATAGCCTATTATCTACATGGACAGTCAACTTTCCTATTTTCTGTGAACCCGAACACAGTATAAAAGCCTGATGTTCCTACCTTTCCACCAATCAGCGCCGAGTATCAGTAGTAAACAAGCCGCACCGTGTGGGCGTGGCGCCGCAGCTGATTGGCTGAGCTCTGATTTTTCAGGCACACACCTCCCTTCTGACAACGTGTTCGGACACGAGTTTCGCCAGGAGGGACTGAGCTAGACAAGGAAATCCTGCCGAAAATAACCCGTGTGTTGATGCAAAGTAAAATTTAAAAAAGGCCAAATCATACACAGGACGCCCCACGTAGGGCTGTATAGATTTAGAAAATTGTAGTATGTGCAAACATTGTTGCTAAAATGGTCAAAAATAAATAAATAAACAAAGAAATACATAACGTCATCCACCCGATGATGTAGTAGAGGTAAATGCAATAACAATGAAATTTACAGACGCATAATAAGGGGCCATATTTTAATATAAGGCAGTAAAATGAGTGAGTCCTTGTGAGGAGGATATTGCACATTTGATACAAGTTGTACACGATAATTAAGAAAGAAAGAAAGCAGTTACCACTTTTTCAAATAAATGCATAGTTAGTAATTTTCCAGTTGTGGCTGTGGTGTGTTTTAAAATAATGGCAGACTAGTTTACCATCTCTCAACTAGGCTACATCACTGATCTCCACCCGACACCCCCTCCGTCCCCGCCTCAGCTTACATCGCTGAAGGAAAACCAGTCTTACTGCGTTCGCTGCACCGCAAAAACATAGATAAGGGAACCCGCATGTTTTCACGCACTCACTCGGCCGTTGGAGACCTCTGCCCCTCTCCGTCCGGTTGGAGCTGCAACAGCGGGTCGTCTCTGCCTGGCTGTCCCGCCGCTCGCTGGCTCTCGGTCTGCCGGTAGGAAGGGGGCTGGTCGTTCGGGTACGCGCCTACGTGTGTCTGCTTGGCGGACCAATGCCGGTGGTGACAGCTGGACAGGGCGCCGAGCTGTCAGCCTGCAGCTCGCCGTGCACAAAAGGATGATCTAGGTGAAGGGTTGCCAGAACAGCAGTATCCCCATCCTCCCTCTCTCTCTGTCTGTCTGTACATCTGATGTCGCTCAGTCCCATGAGCACCGGAAGTAAGTGGTGTTGATAGTTTGATGAATCCTTCCTAATTAACTGAGTATATTTTGATACATATTAACTATATGCCTGTACTGTGTATAAAAACACAAATCAGCTAAGTATGACTACCTGTTTAAATAAAATGCAAATAGCTAACATCTAATAAAACTGCTGACACAAATAGTATATCAGCCCTCAGCATCACATGATAAACTGGCCACACAGAGATTAAACAGGACTTGTGTTTCAGTGCTGGTGCCACTGTCGGTGTGTTTCTGTGTTAGAGAGACCGGATTAGTGTCCACTGTCTGCGCCCTCTCTGCCAGACATCCAGTCAGCAGGGATTTTAGGGTCTGAGCACCAACACAATGAGAGAGAGTGGCCCAGCCACCCAGGCCAAACCTCCTAAATCAGACAGAAGTCCTCTTCTTCCCATCATTAGTGACAGCATGTAACTAAAACAAGCCTTTCTACCAACAGCCTTGACTAGTTAGTGTGGTTGTAATTGATGCCACAGCTATTAAAAATCCTCCTGATGGGGTCACAAATGTCTGAGCCAAATTTTATGACAAAGCATCTCAATAGTTGTGTCACAAGCACAAGTGTAAGCCTCATGCTGACACTGTAGGAAGAGTCTGGGAATCCTTACAATTCATACCATGAAGTCTGTACAGAAATTCACCCACTAATTGTTGACACATTCACTAAACAACAAACATGTCAACAAAGAGGAAAAATAAGAGGATCACTGAAATCAGTAGATTTCATCCTCTGAGGGACACAGATGTCTGTACAGAACAGAGTCCTGCACTGGGTCAGATGTGTAACGGGTAAAACCATGTTTATATTAATGTACGGGTATGGGAATGGGTAAACAATAGACTAAATGTGGGCAGGTAGCAAGTGAAATAAACATAATTTAAATAAATAAATAAATGTGCAGCTTTTTAAACATCTAATCCACCATAATTTTTTTATCAAGCCTAAATAACTGATACATTTACTGTGAAAGTCTCTGGCACAACCTTTGACGCCTCAACTCACATCCAGCTAACAGGATGTCACTCAGACGTTAATGTAGGCTAGATGTCTGTGTGTCAGAATGAATAAGGAAGTGACTCTGTGTCTGTTTTAATTATGGGTACGGGTCAGTTTGCTGGTCTTATGTTAATGGGTTAGGTCGGATCCGGATTTCATTTAGAAATAACTTTGGGTAACGGGTATGATCAGATACAGAGCTTTGCAGGTGCAAATGTTTTTTGGCTGTGCGTGCCCTATGTTTTAAAAACATAGCTAAAATGAGAAACTTTCTGTCTAAGCAGGATTTAGAAAAGCTCATTCATGCTTTTGTTCCTAGTAGGGTAGACTATTGTAACACACTCCTGATTGGCCTCCCCAGTAAGACCCTTAGACAACGGCAACTCATTCAAAATGCTGCTGTCAGTATTCTGATAAACACCAAGAAGAGAGAACATATTACTCTGGTCCTCAGGTCTTTGCATTGGCTTCCAGTTAAATACAGAACTCAATTTAAGGCCCCACTTATTGTCTACAAGTCTCTCAATGGTCTGGGCCCAAAATACATCAAAGACATGTTTGCTGACTCCACGTGGGTTTCTCAGATCTGCAGGGACTGGTCAGCTAGTGGCGCCCAGAGCTCGAACTAAACAAGGTGAAAGTGCTTTTAGCCATAGTGCTGCCCACAGCTGGAACCAGCTCCCATTAGAACCGAGATCTGCCCCAACTGGAGCCACTTTTTCCAAACTAAGCAAATGACTGTTCTTATTTTCTGCTGCTTTTAATGAATTCTTCTTAATTCCACCCAAGTCTGCACTTTATCTGCTTTTATTTTTCTTCCATTACTCAATGACCAACTGACCTTATTGTGCTCTTTAGCTGACTGTATAGACACTGACGTTTCTAATTTTCCAGAAGAGAGTACGTCTGCCTCTGGTGTCTAAGATGTTAGATTTGGGAAGACTGAAGTAAAGGGGTATAAAGTATAATGAGAACAGTAAGTGTCCACAGTCTGCCACAGCTCTACTAAAAGTACTAACTACAATTGCATGTTGCTAGTTGTACTCTCATGTTTTATCTATTTGCTTTTATCTAAATATGCATTTTAATGTTTTATCTATTTGTGTGCATTGTGTTAAGCACTTTGAATTGCCATTGTGTATGAAAATGTGCTATATAAATAAACTTGCCTTGCCTACATTTTGGTTTGTTTCACTCTGGACATCAAACATAGCCTATGTGCTAGAGTTTAATAACTTACAATAACCTGAAAATATGGTAGTGCTAAAAGTATAGCTCCCACTTGCAACATGTAATTTCTAATAGCATGACTAAAATATTCATATAGGCTAGTAACTTATCATTTTGCTGTTGTGGCTTACCTAACATTATAGTATTAGTTTTAATTCATAATATAGGCCTAATAATACATCTAATCTATGTAGCTAGTCAACAGTAGGTGTATGATATTTTCCCTCATATGATATCAGAGTCACATTTTAACATCAGTCTGTGCATCCTGTCCTGGGGCCAGATACCAGGTAAAAGGCCAGATAGCAGCCAAGCTGAACAGGCATGAAACCAGCCACTTAAGAGAGTCATGACATCCAGCCACGTGCTACTGGCCTTTACTACAGCGAAACACCACAGAAGGCCATTGACAGCGCACACTGTGAGTCTGTATCAAACCAGATTTCACTCTGTAAATCCAGCAACACAAAACACCATTCTCTCAAAGGTCAAAGGTCAAAGTGTTTATTTGTCATATGCACAGTTAGGAAACGTGTTTCCCTGTACAATGAAACTCTTATTTTGCCGTCCAAATGAATGCCACAAAATACAAATGAAATACAAAGTAGATGAGCAATAACACAAATCTAAATAGGCAGTAAAATCACAAACCTAAGGCACTTTAAAGCAGCAAGTGAAGGAAGCACAATAAAAATACAAAAAGAACACAATATAATGTAGAGAGAATATATGCTTAGTGGGAGCCGTGAAGTGCAAATATTTAGCACTGAGTGTGCAATTATGCATGTGCAAACTGAGTATATAAACAGTACAGATGGAATTACATGAGGTAGATCCGGAGTTGGCTGTTTAGTAGGAGTCTGATGGCAGAAGGATAGAAAGAGTTTTTCAGTCTAGAAGTCCTGCATTTCACACTTCTGAGCCTCTGACAGGTGGACAGGGGTATAAACAGTCCATGCTGGGGGTGGGTGGGGTCTGTCCACAGTTTGACTATAGTATGAATCAGATCTGTTCCCACCATAGAGATGCGTTTTCTCTAACCTGACCCCTAACCTTATCTTATCCATAACCACCAAGGGGGGCGCTGCTAGAAACACAGTTTTAATGGGGAAAGACCTGCTGATGCATTAAAGTCGAATCAGCCGAACAGATGCACAGACCCAAAGCCACCACACTAAACTAGTTTGTCGTCACTGTCACTCTTGCAAATGCAGATAAACATGCTCACAAATACATATTTCACTTGTGTGTTTCTCAGAGATGCCTGGTTCAACTCCAGGAAAATGAATTATTTCGTTAACTCCAAAGAACCATTGACAGCTTATGTTCAGCTGTAGAGATCCAGCCCCCGGGTTGTTTGCCTCCCCCGCCGCATAAAATCCGCTTATGCCACTGACCTGCTGAATTTTCTTTAAACACAGTGTCTGTTGCAGAAAACTCACTTCAAGACTCAAAACACGTGTGATCATCACTGTTTATTTGAAATTTCATTGCGCTCAGAATGAGGGACTTAAAGGCCCCAAAGTCTCGTTTCAAATCTTACATATTTCTATAAAATTAATTATTCATGACTAATTAATCAATAGTCAAATTTAAAGGCTGAAAAAAAAGTTCACTTTTATTTTTGTTTATCACTCAAAAACCTGGTTAATGTGCTTCGTCAGGACTGTGTGGATGGGGTTTGATCAGATTTGATTGACAGGAACCAAGCAACCCACCAACCATCATCAGACTTTGATTGAAGTGTTGCTGAGTCCTGAGTGGTGTAATGAAAAACAATATGCAACACAACCCTGTCTCACTGATCCGCCCACACAGAAATCTCAATGCTAAACAACCGAAACGGTCTTAACTTGAGCAGAAATGGTTGTGCTCATGCAGGATCACACTGCAGTGAAGCAGTATCGCTGCCATCAGGGCCGTGACATGTAGGTGTGTTTTAGTGTTTTATTTGGCCTGTTAAGCAGATTAAAAGGACAACTCATATAACAAGAATGACAACTCCACCCTGCCTTCTTGTAACATTTGGTTCACCTTTAAATTTCAGCAATACATGTCCAGGTGCCGCTCCCATCTCCTCACAATCAGCCAGGAAGGCTTGTGCTGTCTTTTTAACTCTTTGTTTACAGACAAACACTCCCTCAAATTCCACATATGTCATGTGTTTATAATAATAATAGCATAGGTTTTTATCTGCGTCAGCTGAGTGGACTGAGAAGCATTCAAGCACAAAGACAGGAATACAAAAGAACAAATACAAAACAGAAAATTAATCTCTTCATTGATAATGAAATGGCACCAAAGGTTTGGAAAATTCCCTCTTATCTCATCTAATCGGAGTCGATGCATGCAGTACATAACCAGAAGTGGCTTTCCATGATCCCATCAGCTCAATAGTGGCAACAGTGTCATTTAAAGAACCACAGCAGTGGCTTTGCATGTTTTATCCTTTGTATTACAAACCTCATATACCTTACATTTTAGCAACAGTTTTCAAAGAGTCTACTAAGTGATTTTAATACAGTACAGAAATGAGTGGACACCAGTGGCTGCCACGAGCAGTAGGAATAATACATCCAAAGATCCTAATTTTTACAGTATGCATTTGAAAATAGCTGAAAATGATATTAAAGCTACCTAGCTCTGTCCAGAGGTAACAAAATCTACATTCAAGCACATCTAATGCTGACAAATTAACACGTTATATGCCAAAGTGTGACTACATCTTGGCTAGGGGCAGTGACTGGACTGGGAAAGAAA